TTGCAGCACCCCCCCCCCCCCCCGGTTGTGCATCTGTATAGTCAAGCGTTTTATACCAGCATAACATGTATGCTCATGTTTTGTTCGGCAGGTATTGCTGGAATTTGATGATGACGAAGAAGATGGAGCCTTGCCTCACAGGACCGTGCCCTTCCACAAGGTAGTTGCCCTACCAGAGGGGTATCGCCAGTGATCTGTTCATAACCTGTATAAATTTAGGTTTGGATGTGTACTAAAGCATAAGACTGATCTTATACACATAAGTTATGCGCCGGATGTAGAAATAGGTAAATGATGTTGAGCTCACTTGGATTGACATTTTATCTCTGTACGTTCACCATTGTCCTGCATTTGTTCCCGTCATCGTAGTCATTATATTTCTTTACGCAGTCCATCTTTAGTATACATCTGCAGGAAATCTTATGGTTTCTCCAAGGTATGCATCATTTCTCCAACTTTGTACAATTTTCTAATATTTCTTAGTAAATTACATAATATTATATGATTATAAATACATATCTTTGGATGATTTACTTCACAGATTTATGAAATTATTATGAAATGTTAGAACATTATTTAATAATTTTTCGATCTAAGTAATATTTGACAGCTTTTCAACTGAAAAACAAGATTCTTGTCAGCATTTGAATATGAACCTGGCTCTATTTGGTTATTGTAGTAAGTAACATAAAACATATTCTACTTATATATATATATATATGTATAAGGTTTTCCTTGACTTATTCTTATATATTTTATTCATAGTTAATTTTAGTTTAAATTCTTGTTATATTTATTTTGAAGTTTTATGCTTAGAAACTTGAAATTCTTAATTATAAAACATTAATATTAAAATAAGAATCAGAATGAGATTAGGAAAATGAGAATTAAATCAATTGTAAGAAAGAAATTTTGTAAAATTAAAATGAGGATTAACAAACCTTATCAAATTTTAAAATCGAACCAAATCATATCTGTATTTATAAATTTCAAACTTATGTTTATTTTGATAAAATAAATTACAACTATGGATGTGAAAGTTTTACATATTTTATTTCTCAAGTATCATCTAAAGTGATTCTAAATTAAAAAAGAAAAACAAAATTAAATTGAATGGTGTAAAAATCAAACCAAATTAAACCGCTATAATTTGGTCCAGTTTGCTTTTTTATATTATTATTTCATATTTATATTATTTCAATTGAATAAATATAAACATTGATATCAGAAATAAAAATAAAAAAACAAACATTTTATATCACACATAAATAATTTTAGTTCATTTAATTCAAAAAAGTCAAAAGTGAAAGGGCCAAAATTGACACTGATTTTTCCTGAACTGACCGGCAATAATATTTGTTGGGAAAAAGAAATTAAATGTTGAGAGTGGGATTTGAACCCACGCCCTTTCGGACCAGAACCTTAATCTGGCGCCTTAGACCAACTCGGCCATCTCAACACGTGCAATTTTGCTTCTTTCAAGATATATTAATATTGACATTGTTTTTAATTTTCAATTTTATGTTTTTTTATTTAGTTATTTGTATATATTTGATATACATATTCTTCAATCCATGATAAAGGAAAATATATGTACAAGTTATACATTCATATATATATTTTTACCGTGTATTTAAAATTCTATTTATTAAAGAATTACATACAACTATCAAATTACATAGTGAAAGAATGAAACACACATTTTATAGGTATTGAAATAAAATGTTCAATTATTTTAAATATATATTTTAAATTCATATTAATGTAAACCAAAATAATTTAAACACAATAATTAAAATAAATATATGTATACATGTTGAATATTAAATAGTTAGGTGAGTTTTTTTTATCTTATTTTAATTACTCCAATTATGATAATTTAAATTAAATTTATTCATTATAATTTAATAATATATTAATAAGTAAAATTTTTCGTATTGTTAAATAAAATAATATGACATTACTTGTAACAACTCGTATCCAAGAGGACAGGGTGTTGTTTAAACACACTCTAAATTTTTTTATCATATGTTTCACCATTTAACATCACTAAAAATAAAATAATGAGATTATTTCTACATTTCATAAAAATATGTCCGTATATTAATCAATCAACTTGTTTAGCTCACTCAATGCATCCTACCAACAATAGGAGAAGTTGTACATGATAAGTGTATACAAATATTATTTTCAATATTTTGAAAATATCAAGCTAGATGCTATCGTAGTTGGTGTCATCTTGAACTCCTTGAGTGTTGAGGTTGAATGAATGTTTGTCTACGACAGTTGTCATTCTTCATACCCTTATCGTCCTCGCGAATTCTCAGTGAGAATTCTTCCTCCTCGAATTATGTTGTCTGTCTTGTCTTAGCTCAACCTCTCTAATTTCACTCTCTCTCCCAACCTTCTTTTCTCGTTCTCTATCTTTCATGTCGCCCCTTCTTCTTTTTTTGGGTTTTTTTTTTCTTTTGAATGAACCAAAAAAGAAGAAATTATATGGCGTAATGAGTTATTTGATCCCAACAATAGATTTAAGACAGTTGATTAATTTTTTTTAATCTTTTAAAAATTCTCAAATTTCCCTTCACTACTTAAAATCCTTACAATGATTTCCCAATTGTTCCATTCTCTTTCAAAATTTCTTTAACTTATTATTTTTATTTTTATTTTTATTTTTTAAAATGTTACATTATCAGTTTAGAATAAATTTATAAATAATAATTTTTATATTTTTAATGAAATTTAAATTTATAAATTTTTAATAAAATTTAAATGATTATACTATAATCTTGGTGATAAAAGTTATAAAATTAATTTTTGACAAAAAATTTAATCAAAATTTTAAATGTTATGATTATTTTAACTAAGATAATTTATCGACGATACAATATTACTTTTACTTGAACACGAAAAACTCGGTAAAACTTAACCAAGCTTATTTACTGTAATTATATTAGCATAATGATACTATAAATTAGTAGGATTTAAGTATTTATAAGTCTTAACAATTCATAATTTATCTAAACTTTTCACTTGGTACTCATGACCATCCAATAGAAAATATTATTAGGTTTCAACACCATTCTAATAACTGCTTATAAGAACTGAATCAAATCAATTCTAATGGTCACTAAAGTTTTCATCTTTATCCTGTTTTGACGTCTCCCTGCCTCTGAGAAATACATATATATATATATATATATATATATAAGTATACATATATTTTTTTCGTCACAGTCGCCATTGTTGCAGTATGAACCTGACATTTCTCTTCTTTTTCTCTCCTCTTCCATGCATTGTCGTTTAAAGCAGGTGCAACCATGAAAATCCACCGTTGCAGCCATGAGCAGCCCAGAGTATGTCCGTACAGTTGCAAACAACTATGCAGCCCAACTACGACTATGTTGTCCACACAAACCCATATCTTTCTCCCTCGCCCGGATCATCCATGGCAACATGGTTTCTTCTGGGTTCAAGCCGCGTGGCCATATCATCAACCGTTTAATCGATATCTACTGCAAATCTTCCAATCTCATTTATGCTTGCCACCTTTTCGACGAAATTCCCCAACCAGACACCATTGCAAGAACGACCATGATTGCGGGCTACTCCGCTGCGGGGAACCTAAAGCTGGCTATGGAGATATTTGAGAGAACTCCTTTGATTATACGAGACACTATCATGTACAATGCTATGATCACTGGCTGCTCCCATAATCACGATGGGTACGCGGCTATCCATTTGTTTCGTAACATGAAGCGTGAAGATTTTAAGCCTGATGATTTTACATTTGCGAGTGTTCTTGGTGGTTTAGCGCTCATTGCTGATTATGAAACCCATTGCCAGCAACTGCATTGCGCAGTTGTGAAATCAGGCACTGGTTTTGCTACATCTGTGTTGAATGCATTGGTGTCTGTTTATGTCAAGTGCGCGTCTTCTCCATCTGGGTCATCAGCTTTGTTGTTGGGTGCGGCCAGGAGGGTGTTTGATGAGATGCCTCAAAGGGATGAGTTGTCGTGGACGACC